ACAAAGAAAAAAACAAAAATTTAAAATTTAATTATAAAACAGTCAAGTTCAGTCCAGTTCACAGTCAGTCCACATTTTTAAACTGGCCTTAATTTCTCAGTTTGTTACGTCTGTGTCCCATATTTGTTTGATTTATCTATTAAATTTCAATGCAAAGTCACAGTACGTTTGATCTTTTCTAAGAAATAATGTTACAAATCGGAGCAACATTCATTTAAACCACGTGGTTTGGATATTTTTTCCAATTCCAAAACAATCAGATCCGGTTCAGTCTAATCGGCAGTCCAGTCCACTATGCAATCCTGATTTTTCAACTGACCTGGGAGTAAAACCTTACATAACACGAAGCCACGCTTAGAACAACTGGTCATTTCACGTGCTTTGACGAGTCGAACGGAATAGTTCAACTTGAAGATCAGAGTCCAAGAAGACTGAGGGTTGTCACGAGACAGAGTTCTCTTGTCAAGAGTCGACAACTCTTGAATAATGGAACGATTCGATATTGTCACGAGATAATTTTTTTAATTTCTTAGTTCGATTTTGATGTTAAGCTCTCTGGTAATGAATATTTGGCAACTAACCGTCTTCATACTAAATTCCACCTTAAATCGTACACAACCAAACGTGACAGGAAAGCTTGTATTTGATTGATTGATATAAGATGCTATGCATAACAGTAAGTGTAAAATGAATTAACCTTGTGCGCAAATTCTCAGTGCGACTTAGTGATGTAAAACGCCTCTCCGACTCGGAAAAGAAATGTCTATCGGCCTCTTCTCCCCCCCCCTCTTTTTTTTTCGTCTCAAGAAGGTATTCTTATCACCGATTCAGGAACAAATTAACCCCTTCTTTCCACTGCTTTGCTTCGCAGTTTCAAAATTATTTTTTGGAGTTACTGATTATAATTTAAACACTGGCTTGGTAATGAAAGCAGAACTTTTAGCTAGTAAAAGGAACATGAAATTTTATCATGACAGGACAATATTTCTGCCTGCTCCTTTCTTAAGTTCGCATCTTCTGTTTCTCTCTCTTTCTCGATCTCATTCTCCATTTTTCTGATTTATTCGAAGCCATACATTTTGACACGCAGACGACACCTCTGTCCCTATAAACAGATGCAAAAAGAAAGGCCCTACAAAATTTAACTGCAGCCATAGTTATATACTTTTATGAAAATTTCCTCAATAATTTGTTCTGTTAACAATTTTGATACCGTCATTGTTTGTTTGTTTGTTTCTTCGAGAGCCAACATTTAAAATTCGTGTCTCAGAATGATTACAATACAATAAATCGATAAGAATATGTTTGTTGAGTGCAACACACTGACAAGACATTCCTCGTGAGCGTCAAAACCAATTTGAGTCTCATGTTTATCTGTCCCATATACCAGTCATGTTCTAGTAGTGTGCTCATCGATCACAAATTCGACTTCAATTTCTTGTGTGACCAGGAGTCTCCTTTATTTTACAGCTCAAGTAAGTGTGATGTGAATTTTGAATTAATGCTCGTGTAATAATTTGTGGTGTCTGCCATCTGCCACTAAAGACCAGTGCGGAAATTGGTTCTAATCAATAATTTAACGGAAAAAATATCACTACTTAGTTAATTCATTTAGTTTTGCAAACCTACATGGTTGCAATAACCCAAACACTACGATATCACTGAGCGGTTGTCTGCCGAACGAAATGTCTCACATTGAACATTTAGCCAATAAACAATTTAAAACATTATAGCTCAATCTCTGTTAAGGGATTAGATTCTTTGCCTACATGTGTTGTCAAAATATTGTTGCGCCATGATACTCAGTTGAATTTGGGCTTGAACAGTGTCCCAAGGAGAACTAAGTGAAGTATGCGTGAATTGGAGTCCTTTTTTGGCCAAAACAAAATTTTCGAATTGAAACTTCGAATTCCTTTACACGGTAACTGGAACCGATTTTACTTATCAGTTTCAATTGTTAACATGTCTAACATTATCTAAAAGTTATATTTAACCAATGGATATCATGTTGCCGTGGTTCTGTTCAGTAATAGATCAAACGTACGATAAAAGTGAAAAAGTCCTTCGATACACCTTTACTTTGATAGATCCTGAGAAAGAACCAAAATAAATATTGTATAATCCAGATTATTATATAACTCTAGACAGTTGATGTGTCTCGTGACAAGCTGGAGGCATCTTGCACTCTGACGGACAACGTAATAAATATTTTTTCTGATCGATCTGCCGTGAAAAACCGAACGTTTGCTGAATCAGGCACGTGCAAACGAAACTGAAAAAAGTTTGACGTCTGCTGAGAAGGCAAGTTACCATTTTTGAGTTTGGATTCTTAAGCACCCGAGAACGCGATCTACATTTTTGATTTATCGCATCAAAAAGGTTCTTAAATTCTCGTGCTTTTCACGCCCGATCCCGAGGAACAATGATTACGTAAGATTGAACCATTGGTTGCTTGACGTTTATGACATTTTTGTGTTGTTATAACATGCAGTTCTACTAGTTTATTTGCTCAAGGAACTCTACTTTTAACTGAACAGGATGGCAGAGAACAATGAAACCCTTCCCTCCGCACCTAAGGAAGGACCTTTTCCACCTGTGATAGCTATAATCTCCATCATAACTATAATAGGAAACCTTCTGGTGATTGTGACTTTGTGTAAGAAACCGCGCAGTGAACTACGGATTGTTTACAACTACCTTGTTTTGAACCTTGCTACCGCTGACCTGATGGTTGGCCTTGTAGGTGAACCTCTTTGGATAAGCCTTTATTGGGTAGATGATGATGACGGAGTAAGCCTTGTCATGAGTAACCCACCAAGTGCGTTTAATATTACATCTAGATCAGTGTTGGTCATAGCAGCTACCGCCTCAAGATGTACTCTGCTCTTTATTACATTGGAAAGATACGTGGCCTTAGAGATGCCTCTGCGAAGAGAGAAGCTGTTTAGTGGGATAGCTTTAAAGTTCTACATTTTGCTCATTTGGCTATATGCATTAGTTACGACCCTGCTTACTTCCTTTCATGACACAGAGGCATTTCGACTGGTATTGTATCCCCTTGCTCAGTTTGAACTGGTTGTCATCTTCGTTTCGTATATGCGCATGTTTATAATCATCCGAAAATTCAACGAGGCTCAACTCGCCAATAGAGTTCGAGAACCACTTATTCAAACTGGACATGCCTATAGATTAGCTCGAAAACGGGAGTGTTCACTCGCCAAAGATATGTTTTTTCTAGTTGGAGCCTATGTACTGTGTTTCCTGCCTTTATCCATCACTCGTTCTGTTGAATGTTTCGCTAGTGAAAGGGTGAAAATTACATTCAACACTGCAGAACTCTTAAAAATCATTTACGTATCAAAATGTGCCATAGATCCCGTATTATACACATTCATTATTCGTAGTTATCGATGGCAAGTTAAGAGGTTGTTTTATAAAGTTACCAAGGCGTTTGCAGAGATACTATTTACCAGCAATGGCGCGGTAAACGTCCAGTAAACGAATTAGTTCCACTATGACGTAGTATACTATTGCATTGACTCACTACAGCGGTGGTTATATTGTTAAATAAAGAATATATTGTATAATTGCAAATGATCATTTAAAAATTGGATACTGTACTTACCTAACAAGGTGTTATCTTTGTTTACTGTCAAAGTCGCGATGGTCAATCAGAACACATGAATATGAATACCGAAAGAAGCCGAATTAGAGCTTGAAGAAACTGTGAGCGCGATTTCCGTTTTTGCATCTGACTGCTTGAGACCGTGAAGTAGCTTTCTGGATCCTCAACTGTCTCAATTGCTCTGTATATTCGGGCTTGCCACTATTGAAGGGCCTCGCCTATATAAAATCGTCACTTTGCTAAAAAAAATACTAAAGTCGGAGACAGCCGAATTAAAAACAACAACTCAGATACGCTCGTTGTCTTGCTTTACATCGTGCAATTAAATGTGATTCTAACCCACACATTGCTTTTCGCACAACTCTATTGGCTACTTTACGTCACGTGGTACAAAACAACCGAACAGTTATCTCGCAAGATACCCCACTTCGATATATATGTCCTCTGATTATTTTCGTCGAAAAGAAACAAAGCCAACTTAATGGTCTCGCTTTTTCATGTTTATTATTTTTACATGGATGTAAAACAAACTCGTTATTTTTAGGGTTCACTGGTAGTAACATTAAAAAAATTATCTCAAATGCTTCTCCAGAAAGTACAAGAAATGGTACCAAAAGTTTGCTGTCAACACGCGATACGATAATTAATGGGAGGGTTATAAAGTAAATAAACCCACTTCTGGCTTTCTGGTATGTTGGCTGATGATGTCCTTGGCTGATAGATTGCCCGCAAAATTTCACATTTGCCCTCAAAGTATCGTTTCTTGGGCAAATATCAATTTTTCAGCAGCGGACACTATCAGCCAATAAACCAACCGCCTAAAGGAGTTCATTTACTAAATAACTATACTCCAGAGCAGAGTGAAACAAAGTTAACGATCGAAAATTCAGAGCGAATGCTCTAAGCTAA